GCCTGCACGCCCGCCGGCCCCCTGCCCCGCCGCCCGGCAGCAAACGGGGCTATTTCCGGCTCCCCCAACCGGTCTCGCTTCCCAGCCTGGGGAGTGGCTGGAGGGGGAGGGCCCCGGAGCTAGGGGTGCTCCCTGCCTGGAGCCCCCATGGCCCTGGCGACTTGTTACCTGATCTTTCTGTGATGTGTGTGTCGCAAGGAAATTTGCAGTGACTTTGGAGCCCAGACTGCGGAAGCGGAGGTGGCGAAAGGAGAGACAATACGGGTACAATTAAGGGGCCAGAGCCGCTGGTCTCTCCCCCGCCCTCCCTGCGCGACTGGGAGCTGTCTGGCCTCCAACCTCAGGGCAACCCGCGAACCTGGAGCCGGAACTCAGCCCCAGGCGGAGGGAACCAGAGGATCTGGCTTCCAGGAGGCTGGGCTCAAGCTCCCTTCCAACTTAGGGGCACAGCCACCAGCCCCACTGAGTTGCAGAGAAGGCAATGAATGAAAGTGCACATTCCGACCAATTGTCCCAAACTGTTCAGCCTTTGGAAGGAGAGCCTAGGGTGTGGGACGCCTCAGACAGACAGACAGACAGACAGGCAAACCGCATCTCCAGAGGCAGACGGACTCACAACATGAGTGTGAGCCTGAAATCAAATACAGGTTCAACATTCCCTGAGGCCTCTCTGCCAGGCCGGTGGGCGCCGATCTCCCTACCTTCTCTCCCCTCCAGGGCGTTGGACAGAGACCTGGAGGACTGGGTCCCTCTGGCTTGGTCCAGTCCCGCCTCGGGAAGCGCCTTCGTTACCTGCTCCTCGGCTCCCCACGGCCACAGATGCAGGGCAGCCGCCTCCCGCCCGGGGAGGGGTCCCTCCCTCGCGCGCTGCCGCTCACGGGCCCTCCCGCGGGCAACCTGTTCTGGACCCAATCCAGGTATCTCCGAAAGAGAGAAAAAAGAAAAGACATCCTTATGTGCAAAAGAAAGAAAGAAAGACCCTTAACTGCCTTTATTTTGCATGCTCTGCGCCTGGGTTGGCCTCGGTTCCCACGTCCTGGCCACGGCCCAGCCCCTGCGGAGGTGTGCGGGGCCT